TGATCGGAATATCTATTGTTAAATGATATGTGACATACAAGCATATGAGTTTGCAAGTATATATATAATCTAGGATTATGATAATTGACTATGATAAAAATTTTGACATGTAAATAAATTTCTGCTGGAAGAATAATCATCTTATAAGTGATCTTTATTCAATAAGCTGACCTAGTTTCTGCAATGTCGATTTCTGGGGAAATAATTAAAGCTAATCATGCCTATCACTAAACAGTGTAAACTTTTTATTGAAAGCAGTAGTATCAATAAGGTATAGTCCATTATACGAAATAGTAATAACGTTGGTATCTTCTTTTTCTAAAAATAAATCATATGTCTTTTTCAAATACACCCTATTTTGGTGTTGGGAGAAGATTGAAAGGTAGAATAGGAGCAACTATAGGCGTGCCGTCTGCCGATGAATACATCTCATTTTGATATGTACCTTACCTCCCTCCTCTATAGAGAATACGGAGTACACTTCTTTTGGACAAAATTATTGTTCTTTCACTTTCTTCTTCTTCTTCTTCTTCTTCTTCTTCTTCTTCTAATATACTTGGTAGCATAATCTTGAAATTTTTATCGATTAAGCTTTCTAAGCTTGGCCATTACATACAGATTGGCGATGTATTAATTAATCACCTACTCCCTACGTCCTAAAATATAATAATGTTATACCATTCAAAATTTGTCCTATACTCCAAAGTGTAACAATTTCTCCACTCATATTCCCTTTTTAATCAATTATAATATTTTGCCATTCAAATTCTTCACCTCTTCATTTTCTCGACCAATCACAATATTCTTTTATTTAATTTTACCTGATTTCTTAATATCTGTGTAATGTGAGATGGGCATAAATATGTGAGAAATGCTTCAATTTATGAGTTTATATTTAAACCTCACTTAACCAAACAAAGCCACTTAGGAGTTAGGAGGGGGGGGGGGAGAATTAAAAGAGCAATATATAGATTGACAGGTAAAAACTCCAAACCGTACAATTAAAATCCATGTTTATAATAGCATCAAAACATAGAAAAACAGTTCGAGCTACCTACCTTTACTCAAATTCTACGTATACAACCCAACTCACCTATAAAAAAAATAAAAATTCTCCCAGTCAACTCGTTGGTCAAACAAATCATAATTCTTGAAAGGGAAAAAAAAAGAACAATTCACACGACGTCAGCTCGACCTTTCCATGGTGGACTGGTAGTTTGGACTCCGGAGCTCGTTCAACAAGAGGGACGACCGCGTAGAGCCACTGACAGTGGGCCCCACGCACAAACACTGGTCTGAAATGGGCCCACGTGTAAGTTTCAGTACTCTCGATTATTAGTAGTTCTGTTCACCGAGTCATTAATCAAACCCCCACAAGAGGCCACCACGAAACCGCGTAGTAGATCAACCTAGGTTATGTTTAGATTCAAATTTGGATTAAACTTCAGTACTTTTCCATCACATCAACCTATCATACACACATAATTTTTCTGTCACATCATCTCTAATTTTAACCAAAATCTAAACTTTGCGCTGAACTAAACACAACCCTAGCTGATAGTACAAGAAAATGGAAGAAAAATAACGAATGCATTTTTTTTACTCTATGAAACAACTGCTTCATTTTTGGCTCATTTTGTCTCCCAACTCCTAAGTTGGTGAGAAGGGCTTAATAATGTTCTCTTATGTTTGTTGCTATTCATAATTTATTTATTTATTAAAAAAAATTAAGGTGCATCAAGAAAATTAAGAACCACAAAATTATTCCAACTTGAAATTACCGAGTTTTACATAGAGAGAGATACTAGGCTGATAGTAGTAAGATAATTAAGTGCATCTAAGATTCTAGAGTAACAAGATAAGTCAAGATATTTAACTATTTGCTAATTTTAGACGTGACAAATAATTATTTAACACTTGAACTTACATGTCGTTGCCATATAGGTGACAAATGATTAAACGTTCAATCTAAAAGTGACAAAAAAAATAGTTAAATGCCCATATAAGTTAGCTAGTCCTACTGGTTGGTTAACAACCTAATATAAACGGCAAGAAAAGTAAGCTCTAAAGAACATTAATCTAATCTAAGGTTTTATTTGGGAGGCTTATGATGCTGCCGCTTCTCTCAGAAGTTTTAGCTCACACGAACATTTCAGATTATCATTAATCCATTATATTTAGGGATGGATGGAGTAACTACGGACTTAAAAAATAAACTAAAAAATTATTAAAAAAGAAAATAAACTAGAAGTCACATGCGGGTTCTTAAGCTGGATTCTCAGAAGCTAATGACTGACAAGCTGCCTCTTAAGCTTTTTAAATTAACAGGGGTCTAATTAAGACGAAGCTGTGGATTTGATAAGGGCGAAAGAAGCTGGGGGAGGAAGGAAAAAGGGGCGCAATAGTGCATGCACCTGGACAGGACTGGACGACCTCACCACCCACACCACCACACCCAGCAGCAGCAGGCCGTTGCATGTCGTATCGCATTTTATTTTTCTTTTTCCCGTTTCATCTCTCTTCTTTCTCTGTTTCTTTCTTTCCGTTAGTTATAAGTGGTGGGTGCGCCCAGCTAGCCCAGGTGCGTTGCACTTGTGCGCACACGGAACACGCAGCGCGAGCCAGCCACAGCCGTGGCAGCGCGCGGAGGGTGGTGTTGATGTAGGTGCATGCACGCACGCGCGACGGCGAGCGCGAGGGGTTGGGTTCGATGGACGAGCGGTGGACGCGGGCGTGGTCGGTCGATCATATCGATCGGTCTCGCAGGTTTCTCACCTGGAGATCAGTCTCGATCGATCGGTTGATCAAGCGGCGCGCGGGCGCGTATTTGGCAGCAGGCAGAGTTGGGCGATCGAACCGGCATTTTCCACGGATCGATCCGCGTGGCGCATGTCCACAGTAGGGGCCTTTTTTTTAAAAAAAAAAGAAAAAAACTTGAGGGTGGTATACTGGGGCACTGGCTTTGTTAATTTATCTGGGCTTAGGCCCCGTGTTGGGGAGTTTCTGGGCACTGTAAGTTGTCCTAAAATCCCCTTAAATAAATTAGATTCTCATTCAGATTTGATTTTGAGTTATAGAATTTAGTAAAAACTAAAAGAAGTTATAAAACTTAACTATTATCAGAAGCTGATTACCAATTAATTATCCTCTAACAGGGCCTAGTCACCGTTCGTTCGAGCAGTGCTAAACAACCGCACGTAAAACAAGAAAACTTTTTAGGACATGATTAATTAAGTATTAATTATTATAAACTTTAAAATAAACTTATTTGATTTTTCAGAATATTAATTTGTATATAGAAAGTTTTGCAAAACACATACCATTTAACACTTCGGGAAATATTCTCACAAAATACAAGGGAGTAGCTAACCCAAAGTGCTCAAAATAACTCAGCCTTATTCCTTTCAAATTATTCACCAAACTTTAAAGCATATTATTTGCTCAATGCTTTGAAAAATACATTTTCTAGAAAAAAATCTTCTACCACATTGCGTAGACCTTGTGTTTATATTTTAAGCTATTTTGTTAAGTGCATTTATGAAAATATTAATTCATCCAAGTTTAATCTGCAGTAACACTTCACTTAATAATTTATGAAGTTAGTAGCTTTTAGTTGAATTCGCTTTAACTGGTAGTATATATTTGAAAGTTTGGCCATTTTATTTATAAAAGTTATTATGCTGCATAGCTTTCGTTCATCATTGCTTTAACCTTTTAAAATTTATCGGTGGTTAAATGTAAACTAATAATAGAGAGCATTGATAAATATTGAAAGCGGTTTTGTAAAAGGAGAGTTGAAAAATGAAAGGAGTAAAAATCAGATCGTGAACTGCATAAATGCAAACTTGTTCAGTAATGAATATGGTAATGTACTAGACAGCTTCCTAGTAAAGCCATGCTACCACTGTGGTGGTGCTCTTTTCTTTTGAAGATGAAGATTAAGTTTTTTACGTAAAATGAGATGGTATTAACATATGATTGATTGAGTTTTAATTATTATAAAACTTAAAAAATAAATTAATATGATATTTTAGAGCAACTTTCATATAAAAAGTTTTAGCACTAAACGCACCGTTTAGTAGTTTGAAAAGCGTGCCACGAAAATCTTAATTTTCATTCAACTCTTATTGGAAAAAAGAACATGACCTATGTATCAAAACAAAGCATCTTTAAATTAAAAATCATATGCCGATTAATCAACACAAAAACGATGCAAAAATTGTGGGAAATTCTAGTGTGAAAAAAAGTAAATTGTTGAATTTTTTTTAATTGAATATCCTGTGATGACGAAACCAATTGAGAAGTTGGATTTAAAGATTTTTATTTTTCAGAATGGTAATGGAGAAATGTGCAAGATCATACACGAATTACCGATTCTCTTTGATGTTCTAATGTCCGAGGTTATACTCTCTCCATTTTTAATATCTAACTTCGTTGTTGTTTTATAGTAATACATTTGACCAATCAACTTATTATAAAATTCATATGTTTATTACAATTTAGTTTCTTATGACTTGAGTTATTATTAAATCTTCACTATATTTTTATATATTTGCACAAAACCTTTTAATAAGATGAATAATCAAACGAATCATAAAAAATTAAGGACATGAAATATTAAAAAACATAAGTAGTATTAACAACCAAGAGAACAAACGCATACTACTACATGCCTATACAGCCGTATGCATCCAATTATAATCTTTCAAAATAAAAATCTAACAAGAACACTTCTTCTTTTTTTTTCATCCCAAAGCTATCAAATTCAAACACAATCAAAACTCCACAATGCCTCCTCCCCATCCATCCCACTGTAAAAAGAGGGGAAAAAAAGAGGTCCATGCATCAGGCATGTCCAGCACACTGCATCACTGCAGCACCCCCCCCAACCCCCCCCCCCCCCCCCCCCCCGAGAGGGAGAGAGAGAGAGAGAGAGATTCAATGAATCCATTGCAAATCCAGCAAATCCAGTGTGACAGGGAGGCCAAAAACAACCCCCCCCCTCCACACACACACACACAACTTGTGCAAGTTGGGCAGGAATCCTCATCATCCTCTCCATTCTTTGGCTTCCCCCCTTCTTCTCTACCCAAAGCACATAAAAACCACCCACCCTCTTCTTCCTTCCCTCTCCTCCATCACCTCCTCCACCTCCCTTGATCTCCTCACACTAAATCTGCGATCTTTTTTCCCCTCTCGCCTCCTGGCGATTGGGTTCGGCGTTCTCCTCATCTCTTGTTGATTCTTGCGTTGTTTTTTGGGGCCAAATTTGTTGGTCTGATTTGTTCTTGAAGAAGTCGGCATGCCTCCGTTCCACGATTACAGAGGTAGGTAAACAAGATGAGGAATTTTAATGGATTTGGGTTTGGGTTCATGCTGATGTGTGTTTTTGGGTTTGCTTTGTGCAGATGGTGGTGTTCTTGTGATGGAGCCGGCGGCGTCGGCGGCTCTGTTCGGCGGCGTCAGGTCGCGGAAGCGGGCGCGGGTCACCGCCGTGCCGCCCTGCGGCTTCGTCTCCGCCGCCGCGGAGGCGGTGGAGGTGGTGGAGGAGGAGGGGTTGACGGCGGCCAAGAGGCAGAAGCAGCAGCAGCAGCAGCGGGAGGCGCCGTCGCTCGACGCTCTCCCCGACGAGTGCCTCTTCGAGATCCTCCGCCGCGTGAAGGGCGCCCGCGCCCGGTGCGCCTCCGCGGCCGTCTCCCGCCGCTGGCTCGCTCTCCTCGGCGGCATCCGCTCGTCGGAGATCAAGCGAGAGCCGGCGGCGGCGGCGGTGCCGGACCTCAACCAGGTGTTCGTCGACGAGGACGAGGAGGAGGAGGACGAGTTCGAGGTCCCCCTTGGCGGCGGCTGCTCCTCCGAGAGGTGCCTCGAGGGGCGCGAGGCCACGGACGTCGGCCTCATGGCGGTGGCCGTCGCCGACGCGCTCCGGGGAAGCCTCGAGAGCCTCGTCATCCGTGGGAGCCACCCGACGCGCGGCGTCACCGACGCCGGCATCTCGGCCGCCGCGCGCGGCTGCCCGTCGCTCCTCTCGCTCGCCCTGTGGCATGTCCCTCAGGTAACCGATGCCGGCCTCGCCGAGATCGCCGCCGGCTGCCCCTCGCTGGCGAGGCTTGACATCACCGGCTGCCCGCTGATCACCGACAAGGGCCTCGCTGCAATTGCTCAGGGTTGCCCGGACTTGAAGGTGGTGACCGTCGAGGCATGCCCCGGTGTTGCTGACGAGGGCCTCAAGGCGATTGGCCGGTGCTGCGCGAAGCTGCAGTCGGTGAACATCAAGAATTGCGCGCATGTCGGTGACCAGGGTGTCTCCGGCCTTGTCTGCTCCGCGGCCGCATCGCTTGCCAAGGTTCGCCTCCAGGGATTGAGCATCACCGATGCTTCTCTTTCGGTGATTGGGTACTACGGGAAGGCGATCACCGATCTCACCCTCGCTCGCCTTCCCGCGGTTGGCGAGAGGGGTTTTTGGGTGATGGCCAACGCCCTTGGCCTGCAGAAGCTCAGGTTCATGAGTGTCAGCTCCTGCCCGGGAGTCACTGATCTTGCGCTCGCATCGATTGCCAAGTTCTGCCCGAGCTTGAAGCAGCTCAACCTCAAGAAATGCGGTCAGGTCTCGGATGGCCGTCTCAAGGATTTCGCGGAATCGGCAAAGGTCTTGGAGAGTTTGCAGATTGAGGAATGCAACAAGGTTACTCTCATGGGCATTCTGGCCTTCCTCCTCAACTGCAGCCCGAAGTTTAAGGCCCTCTCACTGGTCAAGTGCAACGGGATCAAGGACATCTGCTCTGCTCCCGCGCAGCTTCCCCTGTGCAAGTCTCTCCGATCCCTCACCATCAAGGATTGCCCAGGTTTCACCGATGCCAGCTTGGCCGTGGTCGGCATGATCTGCCCTCAGTTGGAGAATGTCGACTTGAGTGGTCTCGGTGCAGTTACAGACAACGGGCTCCTTCCATTGATCAAGAGTTCCGAAAGTGGGCTGGTCCATGTCGACTTGAACGGCTGCGAGAATCTCACAGATGCTACTGTTTCTGCCTTGGTGAAGGCACATGGTAGTTCGCTTGCACGCCTCAGTCTCGAAGGTTGCAGCAGGATCACTGATGCAAGCCTGTTTGCCATTTCTGAGGGCTGTACCGATCTCGCCGAACTTGATCTCTCAAACTGCATGGTCAGCGACTACGGTGTTGCAGTGTTGGCGTCAGCGAGGCAGCTCAAACTTCGTGTCCTCTCACTTTCTGGTTGTTTGAAGGTTACCCAGAAGAGTGTTCCTTTCTTAGGCAGCATGTCGGCATCGTTGGAGGGCCTCAATCTCCAGTTCAACTTCATTGGCAACCACAACATTGCATCGCTGGAGAAGCAGCTCTGGTGGTGCGACATCCTTGCTTAGAGGAACAACAACTAGTTGCTGGAGGTGCTGGGTCATCCATCTCCAGATGCAAATATACGACCGTAGCGGTAGTACTCCTACTTCAGTCAAGCTTCGCAGCAGCAGAGTTGGTTTCTTGGGTCCTGTCTTTGAGTCATGGTGGACTTCCTTCGTCTTAGAGCCGGTTGTTTTCCGGGGGGCATTTTTAGCCGAGTGCTCGTTTTTTGCAGGTATCCTCTTGGGATAGTGCCTGTTCCTTGAGCCTTCGGCTGCCATTAGCGTGGCACCCCTGCCCCTCTATCCCAACCTTGGTCCTTGTTGATTACAGTCATTACATCATGCTGTTTTTTTTCCATTGCGTCGTGTTCGGAGCTCAAATATTGTCAAAGCGTGTTCTTCTTTTCCGGTAATTCTTGTTAGTCGCGGACATCAACACCGTTCGTAGAAACTTGGCTGCTCCAGTTCTTCAGTGTCCAGGTGTTCGCGATCTCTTCGGGTGCGTATGTTTGTTCCAGTTCAGGTCTTGTGCGGCTTGCGGTATCGTGGGTAGTGTGTGTGTGTGTGTGTGTGTGTGTGTGTGTGTGTGTGTTTGTGTTTGCAATGGGGGTTGCTTCTTATGGTGTTTGTAGGGGTCTCCTGATATTATCCTTGGGGATCCGGCCTTTGCAAGGTGCATTCTGAAGGGCCTTGCCATTGACAACCCTGTGTGGTTGTTTTTCTACTCCGGATCCCTGGTTTTGCTGGCAGATTGTTGAATGCTGTAATCTTTGTAACCTTCCCAGATTAAATAAAATGTGGTGTTTCAGTTAAACTTTGATGTGTGATTTGAGTTCTAATCATGTCATCACTTGTTTGTGCAATTGTGCTGTATCAGTATGACAGTATGCAAGTCGATTCTCTGTTTGAAGTGGAGCTCGAAACTTACGGTTTTGCCTGTGTTGTTGTGCCTGCTTTGTTTTCCTGATGGATTTGAAGCGGCTGCTTGGTTTCACTGAGATCAAGATCTTCCAGTGATGCTTAATTAGTTTCCTGGATTTTCTTACAGTGGCACCTGGTTGAGAATTTTACTGAAGCTGACCGCCTTACTCTTCAAACCCTTCTGAGAATGAAATCCGTGCAAAATTCCACCGTGTTTAGTTCCAAAATATTTCTTCAAACTTCTAACTTTTTCATCACATCAAAACTTCCCTATACACATAAACTTCCAACTTTTCCATCACATCGTTCCAATTTCAACCAAACTTTCAATTCTGACGTGAAAACACAGCCTTCATGTGAAACTCCTACAAATTCTATGCATCCTAAATGAGCCGTTCAAAAGATTAGAACCCCCATAAAATACACATGAAATTCGTGTATTCCAAACGACCCAATGTTTGAAAGATAAAGACCTGGAAATTCCACGTGAAATTCCTATATTTCAAAGGAGCCATCATTCGAAAGATCCTTTGTTCCAAACGAGCTGCTTCAAGCCGGACAATCTTGGAGGGGGTCTCTGTCTGAACCAACTTTTCCAGAGCATGAAGTTTCGCTGCCGGATTCGTCGTCCTCTCAAAATTCCAAAGAAAATTTTTGCTGGTCTTTGCTAAAACTCTGGTCGTCTAGTTCATCTCACCCTTCCTACCTATGGGCTGGCACATCTCCAACCCTGCACTCACCATTGGGTTAAATGCATGCACTTGGCTTTTGATTCCCAACGCTAACCCACTACGTCACTGGCGTGACGAAACCACCATTTCGTCTCTTGGAATAATAAAAAGGACTCTGATTTTGGTCTGCATTGGAATTATTATTACCAGGCTTCCTCTCTTGACCTTCTTTTTGGAGAGGCTGGACAGGTTCATCTGAACCTGGGGGAAGAGAGAGAGAGAGAGAGAGGGAGAGAGAAGCAAAGCAACCTTTTGGGAAAGGTTTGGAGATAGATTTGCAGTTTTTGAGTGGGAATTAGTTTGAAGGTAAATGATGCATTGGATTAGTTTCTGGGTGACGTGGCCATGGAGAGGAGAGGTAGAAATTTATTACTGCCTCCGGTTTTGTAATGGATGACGTCGTTAACTTTTGGATATACGTTTGACTATCTATTGTATTTAAAAAATAGTAATTATTCTGCTGTGAGTTATTTTATCACTAAAAGTATTTAAAATATAATTTGTATCTTATATATTTACATAAATTTTTTTTAATGAGGTAAATGATCAAACATGTATTTAAAAATTATTGATATCGTCTATTAAAAAATGAAGGGAGTCCTACTACTCCCCCGTCGCAAAATATAAGAATCTAGAACCGAATGAGATATTTTTTAGTATTACGAATCTGAGTTTTTATATTTTGGGACGAAGGAAGTACAATTTAACAGCCACTAATTTGATTATGGATTGGAAGGATTAGTTAAAGGCTTCTTTTACCGTTCTGTGTACCTGGCTACCCGCCTTGAATGATGTGACACAAAAGATAGGATTTTTTTTTCCATGGTTGCAGTATTTGAGTGGCAATTAGTTTATATGATAAAAGATGCATGGGATTAGTTTCTGGTTGATGTGGTCATGGAGAGGTAGAAATTTCATGACAATTTGGTAACAGCCACTAATTTGATTATGGATTGGAAGGATTAGTTTAAGGCTTCTTACCATTCTATGTACCTGGCTTGCATGATGGGACTCAAAGATGGGTTTTTTTTTTCCATGGATGCTAATCTGCTAGACTGCTAGGAGTACTAGTTTAACTGTTGCTGGACGAAACGAGTTAAACTAGTTTCGTCGAAAGCTGATTTTGATTTTGAATTTTAGAATTTGATTTCAAACTGATACCAAGGGTTTTCTTCCTCACTTTGGTTGCTATATCTTTTTTCCAAGAAAGTCAAAAGGGCAAGTAAAGGAGATGCGAAATATACCTAAGATTATTCTTACGAATCAAATTAAAAAAAATCAAAATTAACTTCAGATTATAATCAATAGATCAAAGGCTTAAAAGTTGTGGTAGGCAGGTTTCCCTTTTCTTTTCCATTTCTGCCCTGGAAATACATATAGGATTATATCACAAGATTAATTGCTCTCATCCTTGAGAACGGCTAAGTGAAGAAGATCCGACATACACGAGAGCATTTCGACGTTCACAAGTCATTCCAGTTTCATGGCAGCAAAATAACCAGCTTATTTACTACTACTACACAAGAAACCTATCTATATCCATGTTACATACAGACTGCACAATTGGCCGCTATATGGACTATCTACAGTTCTATATTAACAATACTACCAAAACATCTGGTGCATGAAACTAGAATGGTACACTGATCTACTGAAGAACTGACTCAGCTATGTGGTACATGCAGCGCCTGCAAGAGCAACTTCGGTGGACGGGCTAGGAGTTGACAACCTGAAAACCTGAAAATCCCACTGATGCAGGAGTTGCAGCTGCGTTAGCGCCAGGCTAGCATGTGGCTGTCCTCAGCAGTGCGGATTTCGCTGAAACTTCAATCGGTCTCCAGATTATGCTTTCCATCTTGTTGCACAAGTTCTTGTAGAACTGCAATGAGTGTAAATCTGAGTTAGCAATCGTTCCGGATGGACGAAAAGTTGGATGTTGCACCTTCGAATGAGCATTTTGACACATTGTGTGAAAGTTATCAGTGTCAGTCAGGCAGTGTCAGTCATTTTTTTAGATTTATGAACTAGTCTAGGCAATCATGCTACTATATTCGATTAGGATACAAGACGATATGTGGAAAGACAGACCCTGTGGTATTCCAGTGTGTCACCAGCAACCTTTCGAACATCAACCATGAACAGAGAAGGAGCAACTTCGAAAACCTGCGAATGATGCATTTCAAAGCATAAGACAGCATGAAAAATGTAGTTTGTGAATGACAAACAGCAAAATGTTGTTCCCCAACAAAGGGCAATGTAAGACTACCTGTAGAACAACAGCAAACGGGCTCATTCTGTTTGAAGATACACCTTCAAGACGCAACTGCAGAAAAGAGTTAGCAATAAGTATCATTACATCAAGAGTAAGAAATGAGTTGCTTGTTGAAGAAAATGTTTTGTAATTACCTTGTAATTCTGAGAGTGGACCTTAAGACCCATAGTCTCAGCAACAACTTCAATTGTAGCTACTATAGTCTTTGCTGGTTTCCTTGAGACAAAACGAGTTTGACGTTTGACAAACTCCTACAAATATAAAACCCATCATTATTGCAACATGAGCACTCCATGTGATGAAAGTTGCATCAGACAACATAAGTTATTCATGAGGACTGCAGTTAATGCATAAAGCAAACACCAAAGTTATTCATGACGTGTGGCACACTATGACGTATGGTCCACGTAAAATAAAAAAATACATACTAAACATGTCTAGGAAGATCTAATGTAAGAGCACAAACATTGAAAAGTGGGTTCTTCTTTCTGCTATACGAGAACATTGCAACTAGAATGAATATATGGTTGGTGTGGTCAAATACTTCACAAACTAAACAGGTGCAATTTAAACCATGGAGATTAGCTAAGAAGCAAGCAATCAGATGTTTTTTTCTCCTTTTATGCAGGGTTTCCATTTCCATTCAAATTTGGCAAAAAACAGAAGCCGTCTGCCACCAACCAGTACACTAAGCGATAAGAAAAGAGAATAGACAATGGGATCGATCTACAGTCGGTTAATCCATATACAGTGGCTAGAATATAGTTCCACATAATACTAACGCCAATTGAAATGGATGTTCGTTTAAGTCATTTATTATAAACAAGATAGAAACCCCTGAGCGACCAACCGTCACTAAACCCAGTGCCTCACAGCCTTGTAAGTAAATGAAATAAGCTGACATGCCAGATCTCCGTACACTATAAACCCATCAGCGTTTCAAATTTCATTGCGCTAATGGTTCTCCAACAGCAAAATGGTCAACCATACCAAGAGTGTTACCAACTAAAAGGAAGAGTGGAACTATGAAATTACCTGCTGTCTATCAAATAATGCTGAAAGATCCAAACCTTGAGATAATGTAATCATCTCGAAGGCATTCATCACAAGAGGGCCACCATCATTATGAGTCACTTGCTCAGAAACGTACTTGTCCTGAAGCCAGAAAAGTTGTATAAATATAACTATAGAAGCAAATAGGTGACAGACAATTGGCAATATACCAATGGCATACACAAACCTCAATATTGTCAAAAACAGCCTGTACATCATCCAGATCAACATTTTCATCTTCACCACGTTTAATGGCTACATAAGTCTTCTTAAACCATGTGTCTTCCCTTATCTGTTCAATAGTGATACGCTGCAAAATAGTGAAAAAGGCCTAAGAAACTGGAGACGGCAATTTGCAAAAGCAAACACTCTATGCTGGTTGAAGATCTATGCGTTAGACTTATTAGATTTGATTCTAGCAAGATTCTGTCACTGGTCATGTATAGTTGTATACAGTATTTCTGTAACATATATGGCAGCACTGATATGAAGAAATTAGTCTTTGTTTTCTGCATTCTCTCACATAATTTCTGCAGCCATGCAGACTGAGACTGAAGTATTAAATTGGTGACAAGAGTACTTTGGAAGCTTGAGGTAAACTTTACTATAAAGGATGATTTGTTTCTTGAAGATGCAATGAAACAACCTAGTGTGTGTACTTACAGTTTTTGGATTTGGGTCGAGTATTCTGTGGATAAGCGATGTAGCACCTGGAGAGAACCAATAAGGGCATGAAAACTGACCTGCAGTAATCTTTTAATGTAGGAGTAAACATATCAGGTTTCAATCTCATCTGAGTAGAACGATTATGTAGGTGTTCACATCAACAATTTAGGGAAAGAAAGACTTATGCTGCACACATTAGTAATGAAGCCAATACCTTATCATACAGTGTTGGAAGATCATCTTCCTCAAAAGGAAGGTATCCAGCCATCAAAACATAGAGAATAACACCACATGACCAAACATCTGCTGCAGATCCATCATAACCATTGTTGCTAAGCACCTAAAACATTGACACATGGTAAAGCGCATATCATATATGTACTAAAAAAATGCCCCTAATCTTGTCTAAGGAAATGGCTTGAAATGCCCATATCACAATTTTATGAACTAGTTCAGACAATTAAAATCACAATAGCTTGAACATGGTGAAATAAGACAGCTAGAGATATTTATTTAGTGATGATGGCAGAAATATGCATAAAAATGAGGTTTAGAACCCTGAAGAGAACTAACCAACCAAATAACTGCGAGACAGGTAGAGAAACAAAGAAATAGGTAATCTCTTTCTAGTCTAACAGACATTTGTATCATACATACAAATATGATCTATAAAGAAAATCTAGGAAAATTGAATTGCATCCCGAGTAACTCGTCTAATTTTGCAGACATATTTCTTGCATGTAGTGTAGCTAATCAATTAGCTCCTTGCCAAAAAAAAAACATTTCGTACAGTTCAATTTACCATGCATTGAGAGATAGAGAGAGAGAGAGCATCATACCTCAGGAGCAACATAATTTGGTGTTCCACAAGTTGTGTGAAGAAGGCCTACTCCCTGAAATCCCTCAAAAAAGAAATCCCAATCAGAACACTTCTAGGATAGAAATACAGCATCATTAAAAGCAATTACTGAGCTTACTTTCTGGGCCAAAGTGCTAAGTCCAAAATCAGAAACTTTCAAGTTTCCACGTGAGTCAAGAAGCAGGTTTTCAGGCTACATAACATGCCCAAAAAAAGGGTAAGCATGAGATATTGCACCTAGTGAATAGGACAAATGATAGCCAAGTGTCTCTTATCAGTAACGGACCTTCAAATCTCTATGATATACTCCTTTGCTATGGCAATAATTGATGGCATCAATAAGCTGCTGGAAGTACTTCCTTGCTTCATTTTCACGAAGCTTCCCTTGGCGAGCCTACAGATATTTGATCGCATAGGTTCATATTTTAAGAAAATGCACAATAATAAAAAAATGTTCCTTTCTTTATATTGCCTATTGGGATTATATAATGGGCCTATAATTTACTGAACAGAAAGTTTCTGGTATATATGGGTGATAAAAAGAATTTACATATGGAGACACTGCCAGATTGGCACAATTCTTATATTTTTTTAGTTCAAGTAGAACAGCAGCTCATCGTTATTTCGGTAGTGTATATAATAGACTCCTTACTATTTTATCGAACAATTCGCCTCCAGTGATAAGCTCCAAGATTATGTATATCTTCGTCTTTCCAGCTAGAACCTACAAAATCATAGTAATGGTAACAAAGTAGTGACACAGGAAGTTAAGATAGCCAACATAGGAGTTTTGTTAATAATGAAAAGTTATATAGGACAGATGGCAAGTAAATATTTAGCATACCTCGTTTAGTCTAACTATATTGGGGTGTCTTACAATCTTCATTATTGATATCTCCCTTTTGATCTGTCAAGTAACATGAGAAGTGAGTTCGTAATCTAATGCCGAATTAGAATGGTTTAGTCCTTTTTTTTGTTATCATGATTAGCGATATTGCATAAACAACACAAAGAAAGTACATCTCGCATAAACTGGAAATCTGAAATGGGTGCTCACAGCAAAATCAGGTAAAACTGGTGGTCATCATTGATTTGCAGAACAGTTAAACTAAACAAACCAAATTTATACACATGAAATTGCAAACACAATTGGGGAGAAACTAAGCTTCATGGCAAAGCAGTAGGCTTAGGATTGTAGAACAGTTATATTAAACAAACCAAATATATACTTGCAATTGCAAACACAATTGGAGAGAAACCAAGCTTCATGGCATAGCAGTAGGCTTAGGATTATAGAACAGTTATATTAAACAAACCAAATATATACTTGCAATTGCAAACACAATTGGAGAGAAACCAAGTTCCATAGCAACTAGCAAATCAGGAAGCTTAGGAAAAGATTTACACCACTATAATTAGAGAACTTGAGCACTTTGCAACAAGATGCATCCTCAAAAGATGTCGTTGGATAACCATATGAACCAACTATTTGTAGCATTTCTGCAAACACCGCAAATCGAATTAAGCTACAACAGACCAAATTTTGGTAAAATCACTTTCAACACCCAACCATTTCAATTCTGCAACTGAGCTTCTGTCAGCCCAAACGAGATGAAACACCAAACAAACCGCTCGAATTAAGTTTTTCTTTCTTTTCTTTTTTTTTTTTAAAAAAAAGGTATTTTCCCCTTTGGGAGAACAAGAAATTTAAGGCTCTCCAGTTAATTCCTTATTCTTAATCATCAAACGGCAAGAGCTGCGCGCAACTCGCACGAATTAACCAGTGGTGCGCATTGCTGTCGAGGTATATTCGGAAATTCTCCATCCGCCCTCGTCGATGCGCGGCTGCTCACCATTTGGCAAACAGCAAAGCAGCAGCGGAGAGCACCCAAATAAAAAAAAGTGTAAAAAGAATCGCCCGGATCAAAGCAAAGGGGGGAGTGCGAGGAGTTTGATTTGGACTCGTGCACTGGCGGGGGCGGATGTGGAGGGTAGCGGGAAAGGAGAAGCGGGGGAATTACCTGGTGGAGCATGCGGTGGTTGAGGATGGTGTCCTTGTCGAGCACCTTCATGGCGACGGCGGCGCCGGTGTCGGCGTCCACGGCGAACTTGACCTTGGCGAACGTCCCCTGCCCGATGGTCCGCCCAACCTCGTACCTCCCCACCCGCTTCTTCCTCCCCGCCGCCATTCCCTCCTCCCCTCCCATCCGCCGCGCGGCCACGAATCCAACTCGGGGGGAAGAGGAGGAAGACGACGACGCCGCCGCGCGCGAGCTCGGCTTTGGGGGGGCTTCGCTGCCTGAATACCGACCATCTGGTTGACTGCTTGCCTATTTATGGGCTTCCACCCCCTCCGTTCTATAATACTCCCTCCGATTTTATTTTAATTAATATTTTGATAATCACACGATCTAAAAAACATATATTTGACCTTATTTTTCTATTATAATATATGTAATAAATAAATGAATGTTTAGTGTTTTGAAAGACAAATCTATATATGTTATTCTTGTTCTTTTAAACTAAATACTTTTATATATGTTGTTCTTGTTTTTTAAACTAAATACTTTTAAAGTTATGGATAGTCAAAGTTATAAAAGTTTGACTTCAATCTTATCTAAAACATCAATTATTATAGAACCAGAGGGAGTAATCGACATTTAACATAATAAATGGTTTCGATATATGGTTTTGATTAGCATATATTAAGATTTGAGATTACGATACCCCTCATTAAATGGTGTATAGGTAAGAATAGAAGGACAATTAAGGGTAAAATAGAAATAAATTTAAATGAGAAGTGATTATGAGACAATTAGTACTCTATTATGATAATTATTTTGTGACACATGTAAATCTTAGAAATACAATTATTATGGGACGGAGATAGTACAGAATAAAACGTCATATCATAAAATTAAGATTATTTTTTTCACAAAACATTTAATGCGGAGTATCATAGAATTATGTGCTATTACAAAACTACAGATTTCAAAGTTGAAACTCTTAGCACTAATTTTATCTCCAAATTATAAAATGTTGTAGTTTTATAATAATTTTGTTACTAAATCTGCAATTTTGTTATAATTTATTTTTTTGAGAAGCGTAGTATAAATCCAGGTGCCCATAACGCACACACACTCACGTCTATAAACACATACACACATACCCTACCTCTATAAGCATCTTCGGAGGACTGGACCAGTATATCTTGAGATTGATGAAGTCCATAGACATCTTGCTGTCGATGAGTACATCACTTACCACTAAAAAAATAATTAGCTGTAAATACGAGCACCCATGTTAAGTCTAAAACTTAAACCCGGATAGACTGGTTTCACCACAAGGGAATTTTGTTATACTTTATTTTAATTCTATTGTTTTGCGAAATTTGTTATTAAATATGTAGGTTTGTAGTTTTATAAAATTTACTCATGGTTTATAATAAATTTTACAGTATACTTTTAAAATTTAAAATCTACAAATTTAAAATTTAAAATATATGTAGTTTTATAAAATTTACTCATGGTTTTTAATAAATTTTAGTGAACTCCATTTAAACTATCAGAAACTATAGATTGAAAATGATATATCGCAAAATTATATATTTAACATTAAATTTATCATAAAACTATATATTTAATACCGTATCATAAAAATACATAAAACTATATATTTAATACCGTATCGTAAAATACATATTTAATAGTGATGTTATTAAAAAAACAACTACGAATTTTTAGCTTGTGGCTTTGGGCTATGGCTTCACTGCTGCGCGCAGCGCGCTGCTAAATGCCTGACTGCTTGCCTATTTAAGGCTTCCACCTGCGTTCTCTAATAATTGGCACGGTTAATTCTAGCTTTTTCCTTTTGCCATAAATTGGTTTTAGATGATTATATTATGGTGAAGAAATTTGTATGCCTATAATTACTGCGCTTAAAAAAAGATACAAGTTTAAACTAATGCGGAAGAAGTATTCTATTTATTTACTTTTGCATGACCTGAAAAAGAAGGGGACAGAAAAAGATTTTGCTCATGTTTGAGAGGTCGCTTTTTAATTCTTTTGTGTTGTTATTGTGGTGTTGATGCCTCCTATTGTCCTCTCGCTTTTTAACTTGATGGTGATTAGCTCGATCGGTTGATGATGATTGATGCGATAAAAGTTTGTGATCTCTCCGAATGAGTAGAAAGCATGATCGGTACTTCAGTAATGGCTGTGATGACAGTAAGCGTCAATTGTTTTCTTTCCTTTTTCTTTTCGATTTCGATTACGACTCAACATGTATACACACTCACAAACTGCAAGTGCGTCGTCTTAACACGTTGATCGCCATGTCGAGATTAGCGATATCTCTGAGTTACGAATTTATTGATATGCTAAAACCATACTTATATTTGTATATATATAACCCGATGAATAAAGTCATACCCCTACAATTCCATGCCATATCAAGGATGCTTCTCGCCGTATTCTGAAATTTGAAACATTTTAGAATAAATAGAAATAATTGTAGGGGTCATAACCATCGACAGTGCACAAACAAAGTGAACCAGAAATGGTTCGTGAAAAACTGGTGTGAACCATATCACTAGTTCAAATTGTCTTCTTAATTTGTGATATGAGAAAATTTTACAAAACTTTAAAGTGGTGTATCACAAAACTATAGATTTAACAAAAAAAAAATTATCATAGAACTACAACTTTAAGATAAAGTTTCACAAAACAGTAGATTAAGTAGCAAATTTATCCCAATACTATAGTTTCAGTCCCAATTTAATTACAAAACTACAATGTCCAACAGAACGACAGTGCTAGTGATTGAAACTTTACAATATGAAGTTTTGTGATAACTTTAATACCCCCTCCGTATTTTAATAAATGACATTGTTGACTTTTAAACACATGTTGGATTATTCGTCTTATTCAAAAATTTATGCAAATGTATAAGATATATAAATCATGCTTAAAGTACTTTGAGTGATAAAACAACTCACAATAAAATAAATTATAATTATGTAATTTTTTTAATAAGACGAATGGTAAAACGTGTGACAAACAGTCAACGGCGTCATCTATTAAAAAACAGAGATAGTATTAAATATGTAGTTTTGTGAAACTCTACCTTAAATTTGTAGTTCCATGATAAATTTGTTGTTAAATATGTAGTTTTGTGATACAACACTTCAAATCTGTAGTTTTGTTAAATATGTAGTTTTTTAATGTGATATTGAACCTTCAGCATCATATGATTGTGTTTCTCATATGTCTATATTTTTTTTACTATTGCCACCACCTGGAATTGTCTTCACGGCTTCCTTACTTACTTGTTTCGAAGATTATATTTTTATGGCTTGAGAAAGATAACTACAACATACAACTTGTAAGATGTTGGTACAAACAATAGTTATGCATCCTCTGATCAACCTTAGATGGAGATTTTTGTTTTTAAGGTTGTGCTTCTCAGTAGTTTTCTTGTTTTTAACCAAACTATAATTTTGTAATTCATAATTATTCATTCTACAAACACTGTAATAATTCTCTAGGGATAGTTTTTTTTTCTGCATTCCACAATTCATCTAGATATGCTTTGTGCTTCTCTAGGCCGTTAGATTTTTTTAACATTGGTAGAGATTCATCAAAGTGCAATTTGAAGGCCGCTTTGAAGTGGAGGATTCTTAATCCTATAAAATAATTCCTATGAGAGCCTTTGAAACAAAGGATTAAATCCTATCACTTTCTTTGAAATTTATATGAAATGGACAATTATATGGTGATTTCAGAGAAACAAGGCCAAGAGGTCCTAGTTCATGTTTTCAATCTTTTGTCTCTTGCAATCCTATGTTTCTTATGTGTTCCAATCAAACACCAATATTTAGATGGTGTTTGAATCTCATGAAGATGAAGATGAAGATAATGATTAAGTATTTCACGTAAAACAAGGTGGTAATAACGCGTGATTAATTGTGTTTTAATTATTACAAACTTGAAAAATGGATTAATCTGATATTTTAGAACAACTTTCATATAGAAAGTTTTTGTACGAAACGTATTGTTTAGCAGTTTGAAAAATGTGTCACATAAATCTTCTTTTTCATCCAACTCATGAGTTGGAGAAACGAACGGGACCTTAAAGTACTTTCATATGGTTTATCTTCCTGTAGGAATTTAAAATCTATGTCACTTGGTTCCTATGTTTTTTTTTCCTATTTCTATGTTTTAAAGGGAGCTCTAATTAAATACTATTTGTTTCACCCAAAAAAGAGTATATGTGAATGTTTGATATTAATCTCGATATTAAAAAGTGATTGGTAAATAAAAAAACATGACTATTCAAAGACTATATGGCCCTGAATATATTCCGATAAAATTAATATCAGAAAAGGAAGACAAAATTAAAGAAATACCATTCAGTTGTACTGTTCCTACTGGCTAAAGTTATGGACGAGTTGTAGACTCTTTAGGCTCCCCATTTCACAAATGCATCTTAAAGCTCATTAAATTTGTTTGTAGAGTTGCTTTTGACGTCTTAAGAGTCAAGGTGATGAAAATGGATGCGGCTCCTGCAGTACTGCATGTGCTCACTGACATATGGGCCTTACAGACCCTCAGCCCCACATTCAGCCCCACATTGAGTCTGCAATACTGAGGATCTGGATTGGACGAAAATCGCTTGCTGTTAAATTAGTATCAGAAGTCTTATCCATAAAAAATAGCATATATATGACACTCTAATATAAACATTCACTATGTCTATTTATTTTGCCAAAGGGCAAATGCAAATGTGAGGCTAAACCATGACTAATTTTCACCTTAGTGGTAAAAAGCCAAGATGGAAAAAATCCCTCAGGGGCAAAATGAAAAATGTTGGTACAAAATAATTCTGCATTTTTGTTTGTTTCCATGTGTGTTCCCACATATACTCGTGTAATTAAAAAATATTATCAAATATTACCTCCACTTGTCATAGATATATGACATTGGGAATACTTACTAGAGGGATATTCCGGTCTTTGTGAGGTGTTGTGTGTTGGGTTGGTGTTTATTCTTGATCTTTTTTCGGACACGGTGATTTATCCTTTCTGATCATGTTGATGTTGCTCTATCTTCACTATCAATGAAATACTGCAAAGTTCTTCTCTTTTTTTTTAAAAAAAACAATGATTAGATGGAGTAATTATTTGTATATCCTGTGTGTGTTTTAGGTTCTCGTAGAAGTAGCACGTCAAGAAACTAAGGTCAAAAGTCTTTTTTTCCCCTCTACATTTTGTGATGAAGAACTAGAGATAAATCAAAGTCTTAGAGCC